CCTCTGCTGGCCAGGATTTCTGGGAGTTGAAGTCCAAGAACATCTGGAGGCCCAAGGTTGGGGATCACTGCTCTAGAGACTCTTCCGATTTATGCAATTACAGGAAACATTTTTGGTATGATGAGTCTTCAGTGTGGATCACCGAGGGGGGCGGGAATGAAACAGAATCAGAAACAATTATCGGGGACACACAAGTTTGTTTCCGTCCTTGAAGAAGTTTCCTGATCCAGGAGGGAGACGCAAAGCATTGACTCTAGGGGTGTGCAGATTTCTTTCTTTCCTTTCTTGTGTTGCCTGTGGACTTCTCGGGGTTGTAGTCCAAAAACACAAACCTGCAGATCACTCTTTGTGTCCCTTTGTGCAGCAGTCTTAAAGCCTCACAATATACCCCTTCAGCTTCAGCTGGAGGTAAAAACCATTTGCAGGAAGCTCATCTATGGTGCCAGGAGACTCTCATGCAATCTCTCGAGGGAAGCCTGGAAGGAGATGGGCCCTGCTGTTGACAAAACTGTAAAGCTGTCAGTGCTACCATAATTTGTCAGATTTAGCTGGTGCTAAATCACTCAGGTTCAAGCTATTCTGCTCAAGCAGATCTTCAATCTTCCCGGTGCCCGCAGGACATTTTTCCTCTGGCTTATGCAATTAAGAAGCATATTAAGTCCTTCAAAGGCCTGCTTCCAGGGCGTCTTTTCTACCACCCATCAAGGGATGACATAACTTGTCCGGGGGGCTGGGTATCACAGGAGAAGCACACGTGTGTTTAGAGAAGTTGACGAGGACTAGCTTGCAACATAAATTTCAGGTGTCACATTGTTTTAAACATGGATAACTTCTAAAGATTCCTACTTATTAAAAATGAAGGCAGACGTTTTCTCTCACATGATCCGCACGCTGACACACACGTTTTTCTTCATCACTTCCCTATCCCAAAAAGATATCAGTCATTGACCCTGAAGTTACAGTCTCTAAGCCTCAACCCTGGCCTGGTGAGCCACCTGGAGACATTTTGTGCTCAGTCAGCTATGGAAGGGAATAGGCTGCACAATGTTGGTCTCCTCCTTGAAGCTGTCATGCCATAGCAAAGCCTATAGAGCAGGGATGGCGAACCTCTGGCACATGTGCCACAGCTGGCGTGCAAAGCCCTCTCTGTGGGCACGCAAGCCATAAGTCACCATTGAAAAATACTTACCCATCCTCTGATCCCGGATTCTGGCACTCCCCTCTGCTGGTGCAGTGGTCCAGCAGAGGGGGTGCAATGGCGGCCATTGCTGGTCTAACCCAATGGGAGATTGGAGGACGGGTAAGTATTTCTCTGTTAATACCACCCGGGGGGGGGGGAACAAGCAGTTAACCCTTGCAGTGCAGGGACAGTTGTTTTTTTCCTAAACGAAAACCTCAGTATTCAGCTTTAATTGCAGAGCTGGCACTTTGAAATAAATACAATCGTGCCCTGCTTTACAATTGCCCGCATTACTACGAAACAGCATTACGATGACGTTTTTGCGATTGCTTTTGCGATTGCAAAATGATGGTCTGAATAGGCTTTTTTCGCTTTGCGATGATTGGTTCCCTGCTTCGGGAACCGATTCTTCGCAAAATGATGATTTTCCTACAGCTGATTGGCGGTTTCAAAATGGCCACCGGGTAGCAGTTTCTGGACTGAACAGTGAAAAGCAGCTGATAAGCAGCTATGGGAGCCTCTCCTGGAAAAAGCAACAGACCAGTGTTGAGAGCTGTCAAACTGCAGGAATTTTTGCTGCGCTCAGTAAATCACTCCTAATTAAGGAGCTCCTTATCCAGAATAACTCCTCTATCTGCCTTACTCAGGAATGCTTTTTGTAGGCATTACAACCAATCCAAAAAGGGTACAGTACAAACTGGGCACCTGTGCCAAAAATGATCTCAGCCGGTATTCGTTAGAGTTTACTATTTAAAATATATGTGTCTACCTGGGTTTCTTGTTTACTGTACGAATAACTGCAAAAAGAAAGCCCTTTTCTACCCACTGGCTGTCATTCATATAGAAGTACTTAACTATCCCAGCTTAGAATCACATGAGGAAAAGAAAAAGAAAAGATGGGGAGAGGAAGGGGACATTATTTTCAGTCCAGCACGGTGTTGCTTCATAACGCAGCCAAGATCACGTGAAAACGTCTGGCCTCCTTAAAAGGAGAGGCCTGGAGCTTTTTGAGGGCTGAAGAGTCTGAAAATGGAACTGGCCGCTGCTAATTCTCACTTTCAACAGTCGGTTATTATGTGTGGGCTTCCACTTCACCTTGGATCTGGACCAAGGAAAGCACCAACTCTTGAAGTGTTGCTTACAGTGGCATAGATCATTAAAGGCAGTGAACGCTTTGCCGCATGTAGATTCCATGAAGCTGGCTCTTTATGGGGAGCGAGTGGGCTGTTCTTAAGCTCTCCTCTCTCTTTCTTTTTTGCAGTTCCCAGCACAAGACACACAGCACACTCCCCTTGACGGGTTGACAGATATGCAGGCAGAGTCAGTAGATGGAAGGAAGAGGGAAAGAGAAACAGCAGGTATGACGGTTAGCTCTTCTCTCATATATGTACACATACACCAACTTCACCATTAAGAAGATTTCAGCCAACATCAGGGCAGAGAAGAGACTAAGCTGATGTTTAATCAGGGAAAGGAAGCATTTTCTTTGTCCTGGAATGCAGCCATTAAGGTAAGGCGCTGAGGCTGGGAAGCTTGAAAGTCACAGAAAAGCAAGTCGGTAAATAAGGCAAAGTGTGCTTGGAATGCACCGATCATTTACAGCTGGAGCCGGGATACAGTTTCCATGGATGAGCTAAACCATCACCGAGTCCTGCTAAAGCCATCCTATAGTGAAATCGATGTGCACGAACTCTTGGGAAAAGATTTATACTCCCATCCTTTTGACTTGCACACGGCTGATTTTTCAATGGTGTGGTTTAACAGCTGGTTTGTGCTGAATGTTGACATGGGATCTCTGAGGCATCTGACCCCATGACATCATTGGTGTGACAACACCCCTGGTTGAGGGAGGGTGGGAAGCTGGGGGAGTGGGAGGGAGGATGACCCATGCAAACTGTGGTCCACCACTTGAGTTGAAGCCTACAAGCTACCGCAGCAATTCCAGAGGATGGAGACTAGACCGTGCTTATAACAAACGCCGCCTTTTCAAGCCCTACCAGAGCATGTGCAATAAGTTGAAAAGAGTTAGTCCTAATTAGTAATATTTCATTAGAGCCATGTTTGTATCACCATTTTTGAAGTACAAACTTTGGGGAGAATACTCTCTTCCTCAGGCAAGATGTAAAAAGCAAGAAAAGGGAAGAAAAAAGGAAAGGGGAAAGCAGGCATTAACTCTGGATCTGAAGTCAGTGTCATCTCTATGCAGTTCCCGGAAGTAATACGAGAGGAAGAATGCCACAGAGAAAGAGAAGAAAGAAAGAAAGAGCCTCACCAGGATCAGAGAAGGCGGATGCAGCTTTGAGTTCACGGTGAGGACTTAGATGGCTTAAGACAAAGGGTCAAAAGCCGATGATCAGCCCTGAGTGAGTTTGTGGGCTAGACCAGGTAATACCTAACACCGTTGTACGATTTGATCAGACCCTGTTCTTTGTCTGAAGCATCCCTGATGCATCACGTCCTGTTAACAACATGCACATAACTGTTAAAATACAATACCATAAAATTGGCCAGAATCCAGTTGCTGATTTGTGCTCTTCTGGTTAAGTGAAGTGATGTTACGTCCCAGCGGCTGACTGATGCTCATTGACAAGGTGCTGGTTGTGTGCTTCAGTACATATCAGGAATTTTGTGCCACACTGTGGCTTTGAGCAAGCTGCAAGGGCTCGTAGGGTCCCCAGAAGAAGATAAAGATAAGCCACATCCAAGTTCTCTGTCCCTTGAGATCCCTGGAAAGAGTTGCCACAAATTAGATTAGCGATGGGCATATTTGTATACGAATACAAATGTCCCCGCACAGGTGGCGTTAAGGAAGGTCCAGCCCCATGGGGCCAGACGGTCCCATCATGGACAATGCGATTCTACCAATGGCTCCACAGCACAGGATCTGTTCGCCATTCCTGGCAGGAGGTGGGAGGACAAACTTTGCTGCAAGTTCGAAGAGTGGCGAGCAGATTGCGTGCTGCGGAGCCATTGGTAGAATTGATATTAACAAAAATAATGGACGGGTTCCAGAAATATGCAAGATTTTAAGAAATAGTGTGTAATGGTACTGTATGTTCCATTACAGAAAACAGAAGAGAAAATAGATGCACTCTTTGTAAGGTCAAGTAAAGAAAAGAATTACTTGCTGTCATAGGGGCAAATGGCTTGTCCAGCCTCAATTAAATTAAATTAAAAATGGCTGAAATAGCAATGTAATATCCTAAACATTGCTACTGCTAATGAAGAGTGGACTGTCCGGCCCCATGAGGCCGGACCCTCGTTAACGCTACCTGTGCGGGGATATTCGTAGACGAAGACCCCCATCTCTAGTTAGAATCAACTTCTTTGGGTCTAGCTGAGGTTAACAATTGGATCCAGGCCTTATAATAGAAATTATGTTATTTGGAAATCTGTCAAATAAGGAAACATTGTTCCATCTGTAAATGTGAATAACGTCTTTGATGGGAACCAGGGGGGAAAAGGGGGGGGGGAGAGGTGGATTTCAAGCAGGCTTTTCGCTGTCCTTGTAAAACACCTTCCAGACAGCATCATGGCCTGGTTCTTGAGCACCTGGCTCATTGGGGGTGTTTCACCCTGCAAAAGAGTGTGGGGAATTAAAGGTGTTTTTTAGAAACAGAAACCACATTGCAGTGTTCCCACTTTAAATAAATACGACTCAACTGTTGCCATTAAAAAAAATGGATGGGTTCCAGAAAATATGCAAGATTTTAAGAAATAGTGTGTAATGGTACTGTATGCTCCAACATATGAGAAGAGAAAATAGATGCTGTCTTCGTAAGGTCAAGGAAAGAAAAGAACTACTTGCTGTCATAGGGGTAAGTCGCTTGTCCAGCCTAAATTAAATTAAATTAAAAATTGCTGAAATAGCGATGTAATATCCTAAATGCTGCCACTGCTAATGAACATGCATTTCCTGCTCCCATTTAGATCTTATTACGTATTCAACCCTAATACGGAACTTAGTCTATATTTGTTATTTATTTATTTATTTGTTCAATTTATATCCCGCCCATCTGGTATATTCTACCACTGATGAGATCTAGGTTCCGACTGACCTGTAGATAGTGTTGTGCCAACCCACAGTAAATGCAAACTGAAATCTGCACAGAGAATAAGAATTAGCCAAGATCTAGAATTAGCCAAAATCTAGAATTAGCCAAGTTAAAGAATTCTGCAATCTCATTAGAAGTAAGTCAAAGTGATTTTGAGGAGTTTAATTTTGAAGTTGAAACACTGAGGATCAGAGCCCAAGTTAGATCATTCAAACTATGCTAAATCTTTTCACAAAATCAGTCAAATTTTGAAGTGTTGACCTTGTTCTGGATCATGCGTTAAATTATGTATACATCGGTCAGTATAAAATAAGACACACACCCCATATAGCTATAGCATGAAAATTTTGCAAAATAAGTGGCATTATTGCTGCACAAGAGTGCAGCAATGATCATGTGCTAGTAGAACAAATCAAGAAGTCAATTCTAAAAATGGGCCAACCCCCCCCCAACTTTGAAACTGGGCTTCAGATAACTACCAAATTTGGCACAGTTGTAGCAGGCAATCTGCTCTTGCAAATTTGCAGAAGTTTAGGCATAATGTTTTTGAGTTATGATATTTTGAAAGTAAAACTCTAATGTCCCTAGATTTAAAATACCTCATATAAGTTGAAAAGACCAAACTTGGTTATCTTGAAAAAGAATGGTTGGCCCCACCTGCTTTTTTTAATTGAGAAAGAATCCAGACTGCACGGGTTGAAATATTTATCCTCAAAAAAGGTCTTTGAAATGGGAAAAACAGCAAATTTGTTTTAAACTGAGCATGCATGGTGTCATGATGATGGGATATGTAATCAGAGAAATGTAAAATGGAGTCAGACAGGTTCTGTGTGAAGATGATTTGAGAGACCTTGGGATGTCTTTTTCTAAGCATCATGAGAGTGTTTTCCTGAATACCGTTACATCCTGGCTCGAAATTTATTTTTATTTATTTCTTTATTGTGGAAGACTCAACATTCCAAGCAAGTTGGAGAAGTGATAAACAACACCTGGACTCTCATGGGAATAAGGGAAGGAGAGAGGTGGTACATTCTCTTAAGGTTACTTGGTTAACAGCCAGAAAGGCCAAGAAGAAGGGAGGAGTTTGAGAAAGTAGAAAATGGACAATGGGTTATGTGAATTATATTCAATTCAACTGAAAGCAACAGTATCTGATTCTGATGGTTCGTGTGTTGCTCTGATCTGAATTCAAGAGGATGTGAGTAAGGACAGAGAAGGAGGTGGGGCTAGACCACTATAGCCCACCTTAGTTAGCTTATTAGTGTTTATTATTTTAATGGGAAATAGTTATTTTATTTAACTGCAATGATCTTTGAATATGTTCTTGATACTAAAGCTTGTACAATATAAATTGATTTCTAATGAAACTCTATTTTTCTAATAAAAATGAATTATAAAAATTCTACAAAAGGACTGGTCTCTTGAACAGCAGGGTCTGGCTAAATCCAGGAGGTGGGGAGGGCCACAAACTATCATTTAAGAGTCCTACCTCACTGAGCTTTAGTTACAGTAGTTCTAAGGAATCACAAAGTCCATGTGCCTGTACTTGCAAAGTACTGGTTAAGTGTAAAGTGTTATTTTAAGGTCAGACTTGTTCAAAGGGCTTATGCTATGCACTGCTGAGGTCCTGGGACATGCCCCAGTGCACAGGTGGTAGATAAGTGCCCTGTCGAACTCTCTGATTGAATGCCAGCGGCCCTTTAGGGGGTCCGGTCCATCACGTATGGTACAGACTTGCCGGATAGATGATGTAAAGTAGTGTATGGACAAGGGAGAATTACAAGTCCACGAAAGTTCAGAGCTATTATGGAAGGAATTAAAAATGTTTTTGTTAAAGAAAGTAAGGGAGTGATATTCTTCCAGAAAGGAGGACATTTTGCCATGTACCTACAGGGAATTATCATACAATTTTGTAAGACACATTCAAAGTATTTCTGTTTAGAAATGCACAAAGCAGTTATGTTTGTCCCAGCCCTGAGTGTTTTCAGTAAACATTTTTGTATGATTTCTGAGACAAGTCTCCTGACACAGTGTTTTCAGTAAACATTTTTGCATGATTTCTGAGACAAGTCTCCTGACACAGGTTTCAAAGGGGAAATCAGCTAAGCATTTGGGGAAATCTGAAATTTTAAACCTGTCGATCAGAACCCAATTGAATTTTGAACTCCTTCCTGGCTAAACAGGGATTCGTACTTATAAATCAGTTTTGTTTCTGGTTGTATAGATATTTAAAAATACATCTTTTTAAAAAAAGATAAAAAACAAATATTCAAAGGCCACCCATTTATGCTTTGAAACCACTGGTTTTTATTTTATTTTATTTCATTTTGGCAAGGGATGGTCTTGATATTAGCAGAACTTTGCTGCTTATACATTGTCATAGTCCCAGTCATTCCACCCATCTTCTTAAAGATGCAAAGACAGATTGCTCTTGCTCTGTGCCAAATATAGGGGTGTTTGGGGAAAGAGTTTTGAATTATGATTTTTTAAAAAAGTAAAAATATTTTACCTCCCATGCAGAAACCAGAGACATTCAGTACCTGCAGATTCAAAACAGATTAAAAACATTGAAAAGACCAAACTTGCTTATCTTGACAGAAAATGGTCAATCCTAGCTCCTTTTTTTAATTTGGAAAGAATCCGGGCATCCATGGCTCTAATATTGATTTTGAAAATAGCTATTTCAAAGGGAGAAAAAGTCTGAGCTTCTGGATTTTCTTATAAATCCCAACATTATAAATGTAAATATAAACATGATATCAGCTTGAGAGCCTGGGGGGGGGGGTCTGAACTTTTGACCTTGCCAGTCAGGACCAAATGAAATTGAGTAGGAAAACACTTAATTCTTTCCTGGCCAAACAGGCATTAAATAGACTGCCCTTTGTAATAGAAGATGCTAAGATCAGCCTTCTTGCCTGCCAGTTGCCAAGAGTCACCTTGCATCTTCTTCACTTTTCCAGTGTTGGAAGGGATTTCTTAAATTAGGATAAATTAGCCCCAAGTATCTTAATAAGCCTAGACCAAGCTTGAGACAAGGGTAGCCATGGGTTCTAGCTTGCTGATGAATGTTGTCTATTTAAAGAGGACAGAGGATGATTCTCTGTTTGAAGGCATCCTCCGTTGAAGGGATGTCCAACTGATCTGTGGCTCAGTGGAAAGAAAGAAGCCTTGAATTGTTCCAACAACCGTTAGGTCCATGAAGTTGTCCATTGAACCCTTGACTTACACACTGAGTAGGCACACTGATCTCTTTC